AAGATGGCCCTCACGACAAACTCAGGAGAGTACAGAGGAGAGTACGAATGGAGGCCACCAGGAGGGGCCACGTTGCACCTGTGGGATGTGGTAAGGCCCTAGTCAGCTGTTCATAAAGGGTTCGTAAAGCTTTCTGGGAAGAATACCTTTTCCCCCTAGTAAGAGTAAAGGGATTGCAATCATGTATTGATATATTCTCCTATTAAAAATGCCAGTATAACTAAGCCCTTGTTTACTCAAGTAAAAACAATCGATCACATACCACACACAGCAGTCTACGTGCAGGGGCTGTGCTGCTTGCTATCTATAATTTCAGTAGCTAAAAAGTCATAGAGCCCCCATGGAATGAGGACAGTAGGACTTGGCATCACACTGTTCCAGGCTGAGGGTAGGCAGGTGTAGAGCGCTCTCAGAAACCCTGCCACAGCCCAAGGCTCATTGCTGGGGAGAGCAATAGGCCCTTTCCTTGCCCTGCCAAACTTCAATGCATCAAAGGCAACTGTGTTTCCACAAGAAGCTTCTACCAAAGTGCGGAGAGGAAGGGAAGCACACCCGATTCAGGAGCTGCAGACCCCCCAGGGCTCCCACTCCTCTGGGGGTGCTCTGCTGGCTGCTTTACACCAAAGGAGCCTGGAGGAAGAGGTCTGTCCTCCCGCAGTCTCATGAGCTGTGACACGGAGCAAACAGCTGACCGCATCTAGCATGTGCCTCCATTTGTAATATTAAATTTTCATTTCTTCTTTTAGTTTCTTAGGACTTCATTTTAAATAATTCTAAGTGTTTCAAAATTAAGCGTGGCCCTAGAGTCTTAATCATAAATTCTGACTTACGGAAAAAGTAAATAAGAAAATACTAAGTGTCTTTAAACATGCCTCTAATTGATTTCTGATTTGTTATTCTGTGAGACCACATTAACTCTGACTTAATGATGCCCGGGTCAGAGAGCTTAAAAATACTTTATATGGCAGTGTTAGAAGTCACCCTGGCTTAATGGTCCGCTAATTTTCAAATTTACATAATATATGTGGTGTGAATGCTTGCTTTTTGAGTCGTGCACTTAATAATAATTGTCACATTAGAGCAAAGCCACAGCATACCTGCTTTCAAGATGTTTGCAAGTGGTGGGGCTAGTTGGCAGAAAGAGATGAGCACTTTTCCACACTGCCTATATAAAATGTTCCAGCATTTCGAATGTTTTTGACAGCAAGGATGGTGTTTGTCTATAGTTGAAGTATAAATCCCAGGTATCCAGTTCATAGCCTGGCATTGTGTAGAGGTTAGTGAATGTATCTCTGAAACTTTAAAATATGCATGTTTCCTATTTAATACTCTCTGGGGAAAATCTTAGGAGTAAATGCAGGTCATTGGGGGGCTACATCTCTCCACAGGAACCCACCTCAGTTGCATTTTCTAAATGCAAAGAAGCATTTTCTTTTGCATATATACAGTTGAGAGGCCCTGATCAGAAATGCTTGGGATCAGAATTGTTTCATGCTTTTTTTAATTTCAGAATTTTTGTAGATATATAATGAGCTATCTCAGGTATGGGACCCCAGTCCAATCATGTGATTTATTTCCATGCCACACATGACTGATGCACGCAACCAGTCCCCACATTTTGCTTGCAGCCTGCGTCCTGTGTCCTGGTGTGCAAATCCAACATGTGCTATTGTGCAAGTGTTCAAATCATTCCAGCTGTTGGAGCATTTCCAAGTTTTTACTTAAGGATGTGCAGCATGCAGAAAGTACTTCCTAAATTTCTACTTGTGCAGTCTTACCATCAAGGAGCATAAGAACATGAGATAAAAACAACCCGTTTCCCTTCTTTACTTCCCCTTTCTGTGACACGAATAAGACAGCAAGGATTCTAAGCCCTTTGAGATCACTCCTGGAATACATTCTGGGTCACAGGCACTGTGCCAGGTCCTAGGCACATAGAGGTAAGCAACGCAGCCCCCTGGGTGCCTTAGCCAGACCAAAAGACTCCCACTTCTCTCTAAAGCCTCTGTAGCATATGTGCTTCACCAACAAAGAAGTTTCCCACAGACTAGAGTCCTCTTTCCTCCTTGAGAGTCCAGATACTCACATTTTTCACATCCAAGAGACATCTGGGCTTCTTTGAATCAGCTCTTCTCTCTCATTAGTCAAATTAAACATGGTGTTACAGAGCCTCTCCGCGTCTTTGTTATTAGCAATAATGATCCTGGTGGTTTCACTTCAAAGGGAATTACAGGTAAAGATCAAAGAGATACCAGAAATTGACCTGAAATTTTAAAGGTGCTACTACAGTATCAACTTTTTTAAAAAATACTATTATTGGACTTTGTATTTCACAGTAGCAGATCTCCCAGGGGCTGAGGTTCACACCTAAATAAACAGAGCCAAACCAGCTGACTGGTCTCAGGAAAACAATTCATCTTTTGCCCCACGTGAAGGAACAGACAGCAAGCCGAAAGCTGGGTTTTAAAGGGCACAGCTAACAGGAGAAGGGAGAAATGTCAAAAAACATTGGCATAAACACAAGACTCCTGTCTTGATTGTTTCATTGAGGGTTTTTTTTTTCTTGGTGCCCAAATAATCCTGAATGCTGTACTATTTCATTACATAAGGAAACACGTATGCATCATAAGAGAAATAGCAGGTATTTCTTGAACAAGCTATAGCCGGAATATCAAGCAGGAAGTAAATAGTTCTCCCAGGGAAGGTGGAGAGGAAAGAATACTTAGACTTGGCTGCTAGTGGCAGTGGAGTCTTAGGTGATGATCAGGCATCTGCCAGAACATGAGTCAGAAAGATTCCCAGCACAGATGACAGCCCTGAGAGGAGGGCACTAGGGCCCAGGCACCACGGAAGTACATGTGAAGTTCTGGATGGGCCCAGCAGATGGGCGTGGTAGCAGCAAGACTCAGAGCTGGGCAGGGACAGAGCAGCAGAGGCTGTGCCGAAGGGTCTCCCCCAGGGAAGCGCTTAGACTGCTTACATTTGCCGGTGTCTCTGACAGCACATGAGGACATGGCTGTCAACCATCCAGATGCAGTCTGGCAGCAGCTCAGAGCCCTTTCTCTGTGACCCCACCAACACAGTCACCCACAAAATGGCCAACAACAGGCAGACACCAGCACACTCAGGCACGTGTCTGCACCTGTAGGAGGAAAAGAAGCCAACGAGCAGAGCATGTGCTACCACTGCTGCTCTGGGCAGTGCTGGGCAGCAGCATCAGGGGCTCCTCTGTGTGCTCTTGCAGCAGCACAGCTGTAAGACCCAAAGTCTCACTCTCACTCCTTGGAGCGTGAACAGCTGAAAAGGCCTCCACAATGCTGGGTCCTATGACCCAGTGGGGCTCCGGGACATACTCGGCAGTCACACATTGATGATTAACAGATACCTATAGGATGTTTCAAAGGTTACCAAGACATTCCAGATGAGCAAACAATTTGACAGTTAACTTGGGGTTTCTAGGTATGATACAGATTTTATCTCATAGTCTAGAACCACTAACTTACACTTTAATCATGATCCAGACTTCAAACAGTACAAGATTGCCTTTCTTTCCTAAGCCAGGGTTTGAACAAAGGTCGGGGCTACGGCTACAATGGGAGCAGTTTAGAGCACTAGCTCCTAGGCCCCTTTTACTTTGGTCTCACACAGCAGGGTTTTGGAAAGCACCCTAAGAAGACCCCTGCCTGCTGTCCAAACACGACCCGTGTCACAGGGCTTTGCCTGATTTCCAGTGGATGTGTTACTCCGGCCTACGGAGCAGTCCAGCTCAGCACACTCACTGCACTGCTGAAATTCAAGGACCATATCAGGAATTGCCCAGTACTACTACAGGGTGCAGGCAGCAGTCACACTTCCGCCATCTGCAGGTCTACAGAATGGACAACGCACTCAAAGTGTGGACCCTTGAAAAGGGCATCTCAGCCCATTCCACACAAAGGTGTTTTGGGGGCTGCTTGCAGCTCTGTAGAACCTCCCACCACGGTCCTGCTGCAGGGGACAAAAAGCCAGCCCTAGGAGACAAAGAGGAGACTAAGCAGGTAGATCCTGCAGGGCTCAGCTGGAAGAGGCAGAGGGGTGGAGCCGTGAAGACTTCAGAGTGCAGGTTTCCGGCTTGAGCATCTGGATTTGGAGAACTTGTTCAGAAGTCAGGGAGGGCTGAGGACTGATGGGCTTTGAGCATCAGAGGGCTGTGTGGGCAAAGCTGTCAGTTAGTAGGCAACCTAGGGGTCTGGAGCTCTTTAAGTGGCGGTCAAGACTATTAAAACAGAAGAGTTAGCTGAGGAGCTGGGGGCTGGGAGAAAAGGGGAAGTGTAGCTGCTCCGCAGGGCAGTTGGAGAAGAATGAATGGAGAGAAGGTCTCAGGGAGAAGCCTGGGGGAAGCTGTAGCAAGCAGTCATTGTCAGAGTTTCAGTGAAGGCCAAGGAAAATGAGGATCAAAGTGGGCTGACTGGATGCAGAGCCCAGCAAACCAGGAACAGCTTTTTCAAAGAGGCCAAAAGCCCCTGGGCTGGAAGCGGGAGGTGCCAGGTCACGGGACTGTGGTGGAAGGCTGTCTCTGAGGCAGAGGCAGGCAGGAGGAGGGGACATGCTGAGCGGGCTGCATTGTTTTGTACCCGGGTGGGAAGGGGACAGTCCTTAGAGAGGGTGAGTTTACAGGTACAGCTGAGTGAGACGCAGGTTCCCATCTGTGTTGCCACACCACCAAAGCCAGTGCCGGCAGCTCAGGAGAGACAGTACTGACTTGGCACACCCTGTGACCCAAGTCGGGCCACTCGCCTGCTTTGTCCTACTGTCCGCTGCTGTGAGGTGGGAGCACTGACCTCCACACCACAACGTGTCTCCAGGGCCGGGTGGGAGAACTTGGGTGCCTGTGCCATTAGGTGCTTGCATGGTGACCTGAGTCATTACCCCCACCATCTATTTGGGAACCACTGAGGTAAATAAACACTGGTGCTTTCCTGACCATTTGAGCTCATGTAACTCTCATCTCTTAGGGATCTGCTGACCGGCTCTGCTAGTCTGATGCTGCCTTGTTTGAAGGAGAGGCCAAGACCCTGTCTGGAAATGAGAGAGGAGGACTAGGGGCACCATGGGCTCCCCCCGTGCTACCTACCAGAGCCGCAGAGACGGGTTCCTGAAGATGCTGACAAGACTGCAAGTTCTCACCTTGGCTTTGATTTCAAAGGGATTTTTACTCTGTTTAGGGGACCATAACTTTCAGAGGAAGGAGATTAAAATAGAAGGTGACCTTGTTTTGGGGGGCCTGTTTCCTATTAATGAGAAAGGCACTGGGACTGAAGATTGTGGGCGAATCAATGAAGACCGGGGTATCCAGCGCCTGGAGGCCATGCTGTTTGCAATTGATGAGATCAACAAGGACAATTACTTGCTTCCCGGAGTGAAGCTGGGTGTCCACATTCTGGATACATGCTCGAGGGACACCTATGCCCTGGAACAATCCCTGGAGTTTGTCAGGGCCTCGCTGACCAAGGTGGATGAAGCCGAGTACATGTGTCCCGACGGATCCTACGCCATCCAGGAAAACCTCCCTCTGCTCATCGCAGGTGTCATCGGTGGCTCTTACAGCAGTGTCTCCATACAGGTAAGCGATGCCTCTGCTGCTCAGAGGCCCATTTCCTGGTCTGTGTGACTCAAGGAACAAGGGCAGAAAAACTGGGGGATATTAACCATACAATAATATTAATCCCTATGGGCTTGATGAGACAGGTCTTCAGACAGAAGCTTTCTCCATCAATGAAGATTGCTCAGAAGTGTATCAGACAGCTCTTGCAGCAATACAAACTGCTCCCAAAATTCAGAAGCATGTGTGAGTTTGTAAGTCTGAAGATGCTGTAGAGTGCACAGTGGGGGCTGGGCTTGGCTGTGGGTGGCTGTGCACAGGAGGTGTTGCACTCCCCCTACATCACAGGCCAGACCAGCCCAGGCTCCTCCTTCTTGGAGGCCAGCAGAGGGGTGAGCAGATGCAAACTCACCTGTGCAAGCCTCTCTCCAGCTCTGCCTGTGTCGCAACTGCCAGCATCCAGTTCACAGAAGCAACTCTCAGAGATTAGGAGAGGAAAGAACGTCCTGCCTACAGACCAGGCCAAAGTTCCACCCAAGTGTCCTGAGATGAGGTGGTGATGGGAACCACAGGCAGGCCCAACATCCCTAGACCACACCGAAATTTGTGCTAAAGCACCATATTTCATTAAGTTTATTGGTACTTTTTAGGTATACAGTACAGTTACATTCATCATTGGGATCTTGTACCTTTACATGATGTATCTTGGTTCTTATTTTTTCCCCACACCCCTGCCCACCCTTCACCCCATAAAGGACCATTTTATCAGAGACAAAATGTGGAGAGCACCTCAATATATAAACCTCATAATGTATGCAGAAAAGCCAGATAGCTACTACTTTAAAAAAGGGAATGAAAAGAAACCTTTAACACACAAGTTAAACTTGATGAAAAGATAATAATTGGCTCTCACGATTTTGTTAGGAAAAGAAGAATACATCCTTGAAGTCCTTGCAGTTCTCACTTACAGCGCCAGAGAAGGTTAGAAAGAGAAAAGAGCCGCAAAGTCATCCAGCTCGACCTTCTCATTCCCGGTGGGCAAAAAGATGGGATTCGTGCAAGCCCCCATCAGCAGGCAGGACAGGAACTGGAACACAAGCAGATGTTTGTGCTCCTGCGCTCCTTCACCCACTGGGTGCTTCCTGTACATTATTTGAGGATCAGTGTCTCTTCTGGTGAAAGCACTGGTAGTATGCCTGCAGGAGTCACGCACTTTGGCCTCATCCAGATCCCTGTCACCAAAGCCCCACGTGCTAAAGGAAGCAGTACGGGGCCCATGGACTGGCTCTATTTGCATTGGAATTACCTCATTTCTCCATCCTAGATTCGTGGCATTTAAAATTCCATGTATAATTCTGTGCTGTTCTAAATGAGCACTTTCTAATTTCTTTCCTTCTTCAGAGCACACAGTCATATTATGAGTAATTAGGATAATTGCTTTTTCATAAACACCCTTTGACTTCATTAGACAGATAGAAAATATTGCACATCTCAAAGCACATCATGTTCATTTTGTCACTAATTCTATATTCAGATCAGGAGAGATAGAATTCGCCATTTGAGACCAAAGAATTGAAGATACTTATCTGCCACACTCCGGTAATAATTTCACCATTGAATGTCAGTCATTTCATAATCATGTCATTGTATAAAACATGACCACGTATGCTTTCCCTGATGCCTATTTCTCCCACGCAGTGCATGGTCCCTCAGAGCAGATGTGTCCATAATGATTTATCCAAAGCAGAAAACAAGATGGTCCTACCAATAGAGGACCATCTAATTTTATTCCTTTGATACTATACTCACCTCCCAAGAGGTCAAATTGGCCTAGGAAAAATGTGGACTTCTAAAGCCCAGCTATTGTTCCCAAGGAAAGAAGCTTCTTGTTACCCAAAGATCTGGCTCATTATTTAGTTCATGCCATCAAAATCACCATACAATTATGAATGCTGTTGTGGCTTCTGCCTTCCCAGTATAAACACCAAAATTAAAACTTCCATGCCATAAGAGGGCATCACAAAGATCGGAGTATGAATTCTAACTCCACCACTACTGGTCAGCTACAAAATGAGGAAAACAGAGTCTACCTCAAAAACTTGTGAAGATGATAATTTGAGAGAAATCCACCCTCAGTAAAAAATTAGCAGATTCAATAAATGGTTCCTATGATGTCCCTGATTGCAGGAAAAGTCATCAAAAGAGCTCCATGTCTAATGGAACCGTTGCTGGTCCCGTAGTTGACCAGCAGGCCAATCTGTGCAGCATCCCTGTGTGCTCTGCCCTCTGCAGGGGACACTGCACTCCCTCTGGACACAGCCATGAAGTCTGGCTGCAGGCACCACTCTGCAGGCAGCACACACTGCTTCTGAGCATATTTGGGTGGCTAAAGGCTTTGTGCAGACAGAAGGCCACAGGGAGAGGGGCCAGGGGGGCCACTGTGCAAGTGGGACCCCAGATGTGGGGAGGCTGCGGAGTCAGGGCAGACATCCACACAAGAGTGAGAGACGGCGGAGAAGTGGGGATGGAGGGGCTCCCGCTCCCCAGCCCCCACTTTGACTCCTCAGTCCTCTCTAAAGGAAGCCGGGAGCTAGAGCTGCACCTTCCCCTTCTCTCTCATGCCTGCTTTGGTGAGACCTTTCCTCAGAAACCCCAGCACCGTCCATACCCCAGGAACTCCCTGGCTCTGAGAGGTGCTCACTGACTCCGCCTCCCACGGTTGCACGTGAGTGTGCCATGCGTTGCACACATCATACACCTGAGAAGCTCATCCTTTATCCCAGCACTCTGGAAGGCTGAGGCAGGAGAATCACAAGTTCAGGTCTAACTTGTACTTAGCAAGACCCTATCTCAAAATGAAAAATAAAAGCAGACTGAGGATGCAGGTCAGGGTGAAAGTCCTGGGTTCGATCCCCAGTGTCAAAATAAAATAAAATAATGCCCACAAAACAAAAACCATTAGATCCTTGGCAGTTGACTCAGATTTTAGCTCTACATGAAAGATACCACTGATTAGACATCTCCATCCTGACTCCACAGTGCTAAGGGGACAGCTGGTGGATCTGTATGAAGCGCTGCCTTCCTACTTAAATCTATCCCTTCCTCATTTAGGCTCTGATGCCCCTGGACAAGGCCACATGTGAACTTCTAGTCTTATATAGCAGAATTATATCCCAGGCCTTGGGGTACAAAGCCCTTCAGAGAGAGCTGTCTGCTGTTACCTGGGGGACGGACAGCATCAACCCTCACACTTGCTTCGAGTACAAACAGACTGAGCTGGAGAGTATCTCCACCTTAGTAGTCTGGACCCTGCAGCTAGAATGCTCTGTATATGGGGCGATCCTGAGAATCACAGGACAGGTAGCAGGAGCCCAGGCCTCTACCTGTAATATGGCAGCAGCCTGAGCTGTGAGCCCTGAAAGTGTTTCCATAGGTCACCAAGCGACAGAACAGTCTTCTCTCCTCACTGAGAATCACTGATCCAGAGCAAGGTGAATTCAGGGTCAACACAAGAAAGAGTTCTCAGAAATAAAATTGCCTTGAAGGGAGGACACAGAAAGAAGTAAGTTCTGTCACCGGAGCTACTCAAGCACCAGTGGGCCTCTTATTGAGGGTATCACAGCACCACATTAGTATTTGAACTGTGCAGCATTTTTGGATGTTGCCTAAGTTTACACTTATGTGCTGTTTCATCAGAATATCTCGCTGGGTGCCCAGTGATTGGAATGGAAGTGTTTAAATCGTGACAGAAAACAAATAACAGGTATTGTTCCATCAGGATCATTTGGAGTAGAAGTCCAGCCAGTGGCTTCTTAACTTAACTGTGGTAGTGTTTTATAAATTTGGTGAATCAAACATCTCAATTACTTGCATATTATAACTGGAGTACACACAAAATCAGTCTTATCAGAAAATGGGCTTCTGTTAAGCGTATATTTTAGGTGAAGTAGAAACTGCTGTGTAATCTCAATGACATGGGGCAGAGAGAATGTGAAATAGAATTTAAAAACAGTGAAACACTGTACAAGCCCCCCAAGGCACGTATGAGCCATTGGGTAATAACAAAACAGGTGTAAGCCAGGGAGCTGAGTGTCAGCTGACACCGTAAGAACCAGCAGACCAGGAGCCCTTCAGAGTGGTGGAGAGGGGTGGAGGTGACCAGGAAGATGTCCAGCTCTGTGAACAGCAGCCTGCCTGCAAAGTGGCCTGGTGAACTGCTTTCTCTTGGTCTGTAGTGCAGTGTCTACACAGACTTTCAGAGAGGGAAGAGACAGAGCACCTTACACCTCTGTCCTTCTGCCAGCCCACACCTCCAGCCTCAGCTCCAGCCCTCCGCCCACACCCGCCTCCCTTACTCCTCTCAGAACAGGAGTGCTCAGTGGTGTCCTACTCTTCTCCCAAACCACAGCCCACCAGCTCAGAAGCCACATCCATTTGTCCTCGTGTTGCTGGTACCTAGAATAATCCATCTACCAGGCAGGGAGTAAACTCCGGACCAAAGATGGAGCAAGAGAAGCTCTCCCCACCCATTGACTACACAGGCACCTAGGACAGTGCAATTTGAGAGCTGCTCCAGCTCCACTCTGCTGGACCTTGGACCATTTCCTCCAGAGCGGGAAGTGCAAGTCTCAATGGCCAGGTCAGGGATGTGGTCAGGGCCCCTCCTCCGTCCCACTGATCTGTTCCAGGCCGTGTCCACATTGGACCAGGCAGGGCGCCACACCCAGCCAGGGTGTGAGATGCTGTGCTGAGAGCTACAGAGTCCTGTCCCATCCTGAGTGGCAGCTCCAAAAATCCATTTGCTAAATTATCCCAAATGTCTCTACCCTAGAAAAGTAAATAAAACTGATAGCCACCTTCAGTGAGTTCAATGCTGCAAACATAATGGCTACAGTAGGAATGAGTTAGGATTCTATATTTTCAGTGTGCCTTTCTTAAAATTTTCAGCACAGTGATTGACTCTGGGTGCAGGCTGACTTGGCTTCGTTCTGCTCCTCCTTGCCTCTTTCCTCAGGTGTAAG